TTAAAAGACTAATTTTAAATTTAAAAAATTAAAAATAAATTTATTTTAAATTTAAGAAAATAAAAACATATTAAGAAAGAATGATAGTGCTCTTTAGGTAAATTTTATCTCCACTATTTACTAATGTTTCTTCCGCCTTTAGATTTAATTTGAGCACTTGTATCTAATCCACAAATTCTAACAATTCCATTTAAGATTTTCTTTTTTTAAAAAAAGTTATTAGTATAAAGTATCTTTCAATTTTTATCAAAGGAAATGGATACTCGCCGGCTAGAAGGAAGCTTAGTTGATACAAATTCTAAAATTGCTATATGTTTACAGTGATAGTGTTGTAGTGGACCTTATCATAATAGTGCTTTCCTATACCTTTTTTGTGTCAATTCTGTCAGCATATTTTCTGCGTTTCTTCATTTAGTATATTTTGTTCATTTCTTTATTTAGTAATTTTGTTGTGTGTATATATTGGTCATGTAGCTCTACTTTCAAAGACAACAAATTAAGAAACATTTCTTCAAATATCATTTTCCTCTCTTTTCCTATGTTTTTCTATTATGGTATTAGAGCTCTGGTTTGCTACATTCTATGATGCATATTGATCCATCTCAAGATCCTTCTTCACCATATTATCTTCACCCATCAAAAAATCCATCACTAATTCTTGTTTCTGCTATTCTTAATGACCCAAAATATCATTAATGGCCACGATCATTTTGCAATAGTTTGGTCTCCAAAAATAAGCTTGGTTTCGTCAATGGGACCATTTTAGCTCCAGCTTGCACCAGTGTTATATATCCAGCCTAAGAGAGAGTAAACATGATGGTTGTGTCATGGCTTCTGCGATCCCTTTCACCATTTATAGCTCACAATGTCATATGGAGAGACACTGCTTCAAGCATCTGGTCAGATCTTGAAGAGAGGTTTTCTCAAGGAGATTTGTTTCGAATTACAAGTCTTCAAGACACAATCACACCTCTAAAGCAAAGGGAGATGAGTGACACTAATTATTTCACTAAACTAAAAACTCTTTGGGATGAACTAGAGGTTTTTTGTTCATTGCCTATTTGTACCTATGCCATTAAGTGCTCTTGTAATGCTCTTGTTAACATTGGCAAATATAAAACTCAAGACCAAGTAATCAAGTTTCTTCGAGGGTTGACCCCGGGTGGGACGATTATATGTGTGCCTCCCATGATCATGTCCAGGGCTTTTTTGAGTGAGGATGTCACAACCGAGTCACTTGTTCTGCCAAATGCCATTTCTGATCATGGTCGTGAATTCCTAGGCCAATTTGATGTTGTGGCCAAGTGGAAGTACTTCTGCGAGGTGCAATCTCGGTCTCTAGCGCTCGCGCACCACCTCGCCATGGAGCCGATCGGTGAGTTGATGCAATTAAGGCAAAGAGTTGAGGATGTCGAAAAGGCAACGGCCGAGGCAGTGGCGGCCACCGTTCTTCCCTTTCATGTTCTTTATAGGGCCTTCTGATCAAGCCTTTCATTCCAATTTAGGCAGCGAATCAAGCTATGAAACCAATCACCTGTTTGGTCAAACTTATTAACTGTTGGAAGCGGGCGCTGACTCATAGATATTCGAACCGAATCTCCTCTTGAAAGTTGCTGCCTTCTCTTTCCATCAAATGAAACCCAGGCGTTGCTTCTTGCGTTCTCTGGAATCTGTTAACAATAAAATTGTCTCTCAAATTCTAATCACAAAACCCTAAATCATATTAGTTAACCCCTAAATTCCAAATCATACGAAATAAATGTGTCTCTAAATTCACTGATTTTTATTACCATGTAGCTTTTCCAATACATTCCTGGGAAACAATTTAGCATATCTACAGAAGGCAAACGTTTTTTGGCCTAGAAGATGCATCATAAGCAATTAAACATGCAACTTTGGTAACAAGAACATGCGATATGAGACTTTTGCGATTTTGCCATATAGAGAATGATTAACTTCACCTTTAATTCAAGTTGAGCAGAATCTGGAAGTATAACTGGTCTAAATGAGAGCGAATGTGGACAGATTGGGGTAAACAGCATGCAGGGAACGTTTGGATGGACCTGCCATTTTTTTTTGTTCATTAGAAATAAACATCAATGAAAACACTAATTAATTCAGGTCGATTTTATACTGTTAACTTTGTATAGAAATTCCGTGAATAATGACTGAACTTTTTCTGAAAATGTTCGCTCTTCCACTTTTCACATAATAGAAATCACATACAAAAGGAAGCATAAAAACAAAGAGCATGTTCATTATGGGACAACATAATGTAAGTATAGATTATATGAAACTTTTTTTGGGGGAGGGAGGAAGGAAGGAAGGAAGGAGAGGAGGACTCTATTTAAACATGTTCTTTATTCCACAAAATGATTATGTTAGTTATGCTTTTGAACCTACCCTAGCTGTAACCTTGTTTGGTCCGTTGGGTACTCTTTGGATTATATATATATATAATCCTTAGAATGTAAAACAGAGATTACACACAATTCTGAATACTGAATAAAGCAAGAGAGGATCAGTTGCCATCCGTGGACGTAACCCATTGGTTTTGGGTGAACCACGTAAAATTCTTCGTGTGTTTTTCTTTTCTTCCCTTTCACTATTTTTCTTTACTCTGTTTCTGTTTTTCTTTGTCTTGGCTGTGTTTTATTTTGATCAACAGATTCATCATATTCACAACAAACTGGCACCAGAGCACAGGTTGCAATCAAGAAGGGGCCAAATCTCGTTTTCAAAACGTAACTCTTATATGATATTTTCCGGCTTCCGCTGCTACTGTGAAAAATAAAACTATCAAGAACCATGACGAACACCATCAAGATTGAAAAATTCAATGGTAAGAACAGCTTTAACCTCTGGCGTATCAAGATGCATGCACTGCTAAAGGAACAAAGAGTTTGGGGTCCCTTGGCTACCACTTCCGTAAAGAAAGAGAGCAAAACTGAATTGTCCAACAAATCAACCTCCATAAAGAAGGAAGATCTTGCAGAACAAGAAGAGAAAGCTCATTCCTTGATTCTACTTTCTCTATCAAATGAAGTGCTCTATGAAGTTGCAGATCAAGAAACAGCTTGTGGTCTATGGTTAAAGCTTGAGAAGCTCTACATGACAAAGTCCATCTGTAACAAGCTACTACTGAAGCGTCGCTTGTTTGGCTTGCACATGAAGGAAAGTACTCCACTAAAGGAACATTTAGATGAATTCAATTCAATTTTGATGGAACTCAGAGACATTGATGTCAAGATTGAAGATGAAGATTCAGCAATGATCCTTCTAGCTTCGCTACCACCTTCATATGAGAGTTTTGTGAACTCTCTAAGTGTTGGAAAGGATTTCATCACTCTAGAGGAAGTGAAATCAAGTCTACACTTGAGGGACCTACGACACAAAGCCTCTGCAAGTATTGAGGAACCAAATGGCATAGGACTTGTTGTTACTAATCTTTCAAAGAATAGCAAGAAGAAGAAAGACAAGGGCAAGAAAAAGTCAAAGGGTAATCACATAAACCCAAAAGATATATGCAATTACTGTAAAGAACCCGGTCACTGGAAGAATGACTATCCAAAGAAGAAAATTCAAAAACCAATTGTTGCAACTGTCCAAGATTCTACTACCTCATCAGAAAATGAGCTTGTACTCTCGATTGTTGACAACCACCAACAATCAGCTGACAAATGGGTACTTGATTCAGGATGCTCTTATCATATGTGCCCTAATAGGAGCTAGTTTCTCACATATGAAGAGAGATTAGGAGGAAGAGTTTTCATGGGAAATGATATGCCGTGCAAAACAGTTGGTATAGGTACAGTCCAACTCAGGATGCATGATGGAGTGATCAGAACTCTTACAGAAGTAAGACATGTACCAGATCTGAAAAAGAATCTTATCTCTGTTGGAGTTCTAGATTCTAAAGGCTTTAAGTGCAATGTTAAAAATGGGGTAATGGAGATCAAGAGGGGGGTCTACAGTTGTGATGAGAGGTTTTAAGAAGGGAAATCTCTATATGCTTCAAGGATCAACTAGTTCTATATCAGAATCTGTTTCTGTTGCTAAAAAGAACATACATGATCTCACCTACCTATGGCACATGAGACTTGGTCACATGAGTGAAAGGGGAATGATGATTCTAAGCAGGCAACAATTGCTTGGAAATCATACTGTCAAAGAACTCAGATTCTATGAGCAATGTGTTTTTGGTAAACAGCACAGAATCAAGTTTCCAAAAGCTCAACATTCAACCAAATCTACTTTGGATTACATTCACTCAGACTGCCGGGGACCTTCTCAAGTACCTTCGCTTGGAGGAGGCAGGTATTTTCTCTCAATCATAGACAACTACTCAAGGATGACTTGGATATTCATTATGAAGCACAAAAATCAAGCTTTTAGATGCTTTAAGGAATGGAAGATTTTGATGGAAAAACAAACAAGTAAAAGGGTCAAAAGATTGAGGACCGATAATGGTCTAGAATTCTGCACAAAAGAATTCAATGACTTCTGCAAGGCTGAAGGTATTGCTAGACAATACACTATAAGAAACACTCCACAACAAAATAGAGTTGCCGAACAGAACTCTACTGGAGAGAGCTAGATGTCTTCTATCAAATGCTAGATTGAGTAGAAGTTTTTGGGTTGAAGCAGTAAGCACAGCTTGTTATTTGATAAACAGATCACCATATTTCCGACCCGGACAATTTTAGGGGTCTACAGTCCTCAAGGGCTGCCTAGGTATAAAGTTCAACCAATAGATCCCATGACTCCCAAGTAGCTTCTTTATGTGGCTTCCTATCCCATTACACTAGAACTTGGTATTGGTCTCCCAGCTCCGAGGTAGTAACGTTGCATTCTGGGATGATAGCTTGAGGTGTAGGTAGTGTGCTTGGTGGAGAGTTGTTATCGCAAACCACTATTGTAGGAGGGATAGGACCTTTGTATGCTTTAAGCAAGGAAACATGTAAAACTGGATGGATCTTGCTGTTGTGGTAGGTCCAACTTGTATGTGACCTGGCCGATGCATTCCATGATACGGAAAGGTCCAAAGTATCGCTTGGAAAGCTTAAAGTTAAGCCTTCGAGCTGCAGATTGTTGGCGATAAGCGTGGAACTTAGCCCACACCCATTGGTCCACTTCAAAGCTCTTGTCCATGTGCTTAGAATTGGCATACTTTTGCATGCAACATTGTGCTCTAGTCAGGTTGGCTTGTAGCTGTTGTTGAATTTCTTGGCGGTCTACCAAAGTTAAATCAACTTCATCCACAAATGCTATGCCTGGGGCGTAAGTAGGCAATAATCTTGGGTTGGAGCCATATAATGCCTGATGAGGAGTCATCCCTATTGCAGTGTGAAAAGTTGTATTATAACATAACTCAGCCCACGAAAGGTGAGTGTGCCACTAGTTCAAATGATCAAAAGTGAAGGCACGGAGGTATTATCACTTTGTGGGTGGTAAACGGTGGAACAATGGAGTTCAGTTCTACCAAAGAGCATGAGTTGACGCCAAAAAGTACTTAAAAAAATTAGGTCCCTGTCAGAGATGATGCCTCGGGGAAGGCTATGGAGCTTTACTATTGAGTCTAAGAAAATATTAGCCACTACTTTAGCTGTGAAACTAGGCTTGAGAGGATAGAACTGGGCATTTTTTATCACCGATCCACCACAACAAAGATTATTGTATAACTATGAGAAGAAGGAAGACTCATAATGAAGTCCATGGAAATCTCAGCCCATGGGGCAGTAGGAATTGGTAAAGGCTGAAGAAGGCCCGGGGTCTTGGTGGTCATGTACTTTGTCTATTGGCAAGTAATGCATGCAGTCACATATTTTTCCACATATTGCTTCATGCCCGTCCAATAAAATTGCTCTGCAACCCTTTTATATGTTTTCAAGGTTCCTGCATGTCCTCCTTATGGGGTAGAGTGAAATGCATGTAGCACTTTCTCAATAATAGGAGAATCCTTTGGGATGTACATGCAAAATTGATAAAATAGGAGACCATTTTGTAAACAAAACCCAGGGGAAAGTTGATCACGGCGCTGTAGCTCATGATACTTGAGTAGTTTTGGCACTAATGCATTGGCTTTGCGTAATTTAGATATGATGACATTTTCCACTTGGATATAAATATGGTAGTGAGTAGCTGGCAATCGAGATAAGGAATCTGTAACAGAATTGGTGTTTCCTGCACGTTAAACAATATCAAAGTCGTACCCCAAGAGTTTGGTGAGCTAATATTGTTGTTCCAGTGTTTGAATCACTTGTGACATCAATTCTTTCAAACTCTTATGATCTGTTTTTATGGTGATTTTTCCCCCAACAAGTAGTGCCTCTATCTTGTGACTGCCTATGTGATGGCATAAAGTTCACGCACATATGTGGATGCTTTGGTCATCTGGGGAGAGAGCTTCTTACTAAAAAAAATGCCAAAGGATGGTCGTGTAGGGATAAAATTGATCCAATGCCTTGTGTGCTTGCATCAGTCTCAACCTCAAATGTAGTGGAAAAATTAGGAAGAGCAAGGATAGGGGTTGATGTGAGTGCATGTTGAGGCATCCACTGTTATAGATTGTAAAACACCTATTGAGGTATGGTCAAAATAAACCTGCAAACTATTCCTTACTTAGAGTTTTTGGTTGCAATGCATACTATCATGTTAATGAGGGTAAGTTAGAACCTAGATTTAAGAAGGGTCTGTTCATGGGATATGGTGATGAAGTTAAAGGGTATAGAATCTGGTCACCTTATGAAAGAAAGGTTATTCTAAGTAGAGATGTTATATTTGATGAATCTCACATGCTTCACCTAAGTTTGGAGTTTACTGTTTCAGGTAAAAATCAGAAAGTTCTCAAATAGGTGGAGGATGATAACGCTTCAGAAACCACACAAGATAAGGACAAATCAGAAGATCTTAATTAAGAGTCACAATAGCAACAATCCAAAGTTGATGATAGTGATCCCTCAAGTCCTCAAGGATCAAGCCTTCAAACTAAATCTGATACAGAAGCCTATCAAAAGCTTAAAAGAATATCTAAGCCTCCTACCAGGTATGGTTTTGAATACGTGCTGACGTATGCACTGCATGTAGCAGAAGAAGTTGATACATCTGAACCAACCACATATAAGGAAGCCACAGATCATACTAAAGTAGATAAATGGATCCTTGCTATGAAGGAAGAAATGGAATCACTTCAGAAAAACCAAACCTGGAAGTTAGTAAAATTTCCAAAAGGAAGACATGTAGTAGGATG